TGTTTACACATTTTATACTGTATTAAATAAATGAATCAAAATTTTACATCACTGCACTTGGCAATTTCTCACACATGCTCCGTCTCCTTCATCAGTAGCTAACGAAGAGTTGAGATGCTAATAGGACCAGTTTCCCCGTGTGAGTTACAGGGCCCCATTGTGGGGGAAAACAAGAATAGAAACACTGCCTACCCAAGAGCATAGCCTATCATAAAAGTCGACTAACTGGGAGCTTCCTTCGAAGTCAGAGTACAAATGAAAGGCAAGCAGTACATCTGCCTGAGAAGTAACGAACCACTAGTCTGCATTTAAATGAGTCAGATCTTTGAAACGGATGTACACGCAACACTCGGTTTCTGGAACAGGACTAGAGTCCAGAAGTGGACGAGCAACAAGAACCTTCCGCCGGAGTTCACAGCTAGCGAACGCGAATCAGAAGAAGAAATAGTAGCAGTTGCAATCTGATTAAAAGTCCGTCTATGTGTTCCCTGCAATGCTGAATACCTTTTGGAACCTCTACTAAACTCCCGTTACATTAGTCTTTTAATATATCGATTCTATGTCTTGTGTGGCTGAGTGTTTTCGAGATATGGTGTCCGCCTCGAGTGCTGGATGTCCCGGTTTCAAGCCCCGATAACAGCTGGGATTTTTCACGTGGACTTCTAGTAATTTCTCCTGATCTCTGGGTAGTAAGACCGGACGCCTGTGTGTATTCTTGCGCACCTAAAAAATCTCTTGGCAGTTGGAAATCGAAAAAAGTAGCCTAACGGCGCAGTTCGGGACAAAATTTGGAGTTGAAAATCTACCTAAAGTATTTCAGGATCCTCGCCGGTACAACGTTTTTTTACGTGCGCACCAATGCACACGGACGTCCGATCTCACAACCCTGAGGGAATTACCAGAAGTCAGAGTCCACGTTAAAAAAATCCCAGCCCTTGAACCCAGAACCTCTAGCACTCGACTCGGACACCATGCCTCGAGACCATGCAGCCTACAAATAACACCAAAAACCAGTAGTTGTAAGCGCCCTAATATCGCTGTTATCTCAGCGACCCTGCTCGCCTGGGATATGTTGCCCTAGTTTACCTGTTTCTAACGTCTTTTTTTCAGTGTAAATCCAATTTAACCCCCGGTTCTGAAAATAGTGAAGAGCGCCTAATTATAGATGGTGTCTGTGGATAAACGTGCTAAGCAAGGCGGAGAATGTGAACACGGAGACAATGCAGGAATACACTTTGAGGGGATGAAAACGTAAAATCGGGAGATGTGAGTTAGCGTCATTGCACACGGTTATATACCATAAGTACTCAGCCACCAGTACGGACAGCTGATAAGAAACTGTCCGCCTGTGTCGCCGCCCGCACGCAACTGCGTAGATACAGTGACGTTCCTCCATTGACCCCAGAGTGTGAACTATAGTACCCGTTACCTATAGTCTTTGTAAACCGTGAGAATCGCCCTGTTTCGAACACCGGCCGTGGGCTGCAGAGAGTTGCATCTGGATTTGAAAGCGAGTCTCCTATCGACTGCGCTATCGCGGCACCCTCAAAGAAGGGGTAAAGGGTCACACGGTATTTGAGAAGTTAACAGAAACTGGTCAGTGATGACCACCACTGACCGTGGGCATGTCATTACTCCACACCCCAGGACAGGGCATAACAAACTTAATAAGCAAAAACACAGGTTTCGTCTAAGTAATTCACCATTGTGCTCATGTGGGCTGTCTGTGCAAACTGCAGAACATTTCCTGCAAGAATACCCTTTGAACTACCCATTAAAAAGGAAATTCTGACCCACTGAGTCAACGCGTACTCAAAGTTGTATGGAACTAAAATGGAAGTCCACAAGGGTCAATTTTATAAAAACATTTCGCCTGGGCGGAAAGCAGAGAATAACAAAAAGAGGAAAAGAAGGAGAAAAAGAAGAAGAAGAAGAAGAAGAAGAAGAAGAAGAAGAAGAAGAAGAAGAAGAAGAAGAAGAAGGAGGAGGAGGAGGAGAAAAAGAAGAAGAAAAAGAAGAAGAACCATACCGTAGGGAAAAGTCAAGGGCTAAAGAGCAAGAGGTAAAAAGGGATATAGGTGGTGGGACAACATCAAAAGATAGACGAACAGCAATCGGAGAGAGTGTACAACCAAGCAAAGAGACACAACGTGTTGGAGATCCATTGTAGCCAACCTTTATTTTGGAGACGACACCTTATTGACGTCACCTCATTAATTGATTGCTTGAAGAAGACAACGGTATGCGCACAACAAGGACCTGTACAAACCAGGATAAATTGTGACAACGACATTGACACAAACTGTTAACAAAGACCACAGTCTCTTCCACGATGCGATTCTCCTACCCTTGAACGAAAATCCAGGAAAAATACACTGTTCGTTCATTAACCTTGAAGCTGGGCGACGGAACTATATCCTTTAAGTCTACGTATGAGGGAAAATGCAACAGCTAACCTTTTTCAGAAGCAAGAACTTGCCACGACTAAAAACAGTCAACCTTCTATTCCGCTATACTGGCCGAAAGCCCTCTAGTATAAGTGGTCTGACAGAAGGACCCACAGAACAACAGAAAGACAATATTTAACACTAACAAAACAATTTGAAAAGATTTTTACGATCTAGCTATTTGTAGAGATTATGAAAACCATTTCTATGGCAATGACAGTCTTTTGCAAAATACAAGTTAAAAACAGTGTTGCCAAATCCAGATATGAGTGGGGAAAAAAAAGTAAAGACAAGCCAATAAGAGGTAGACATAATTATTGAGATTTATGGATGTGAATATGATAGACTTTACATATCCAGGGAGCGGTTTTTTTCTCTCCAGAAAACGAAAGGATGTATAGAGAAATACAGCAAACATGCAATAAAGACAACCAATTTATATGACAAAAGACACCAATACTGAAATGCAAGCATGTGAATACGAACACTGTAGGAGCGCTGTTCAACACAATTGTCTTACTAAAGCTGTTCCATACAGATACAACGGTAACAGAACTAGAGCTCGACCATGTAGAACCGAGGGAATATCGGGGACACTGAAAAGTACCATATACGAATCGAACAGAAGGGCCCGTTCCAAAGGTATCTTCTTGTCCTGACTCTGCGAAGCATTCCAGGAGTAGAGAAAAGAAGAAAAGTGTTAAAGAAAAAAATTAATGGAAGGCCGCGAATTAGCAAAATAAAAAAAAAATAACTGACTTTATACAAGAACGAAACAAAAATGAAAACTTGCTCATCGAGCAAAGGGCGGAAAAACGTATGTACCCACACCACATTGATTAAAGATGATGATGATAACGAAGAGGAGGACGACGCTGATCATGATGATGATGAATACTCGGAATGAACTAGAGTTATCCGAATTGCCCATAGTTTTCTACAAGCAGGGGAAATAACCCGACAAACCGGAAATCCCGAGGCTGGCGAGCCTCGTTTTGTCCACGGACTACGACTGTCGCCATATTGTACAAAATTGGACTAAAATGTAGTTTTAAAACTACCTATAATAATGGTAGTTATTTTTGCATAGCTAATGTACCATGGCTGTGGTAAGGGCAAGACTGACATGTGACTTACAATCAATATTTAGTTCTTTCAGCCGATGCTTCTTTAAGAGAAAGAACGTACACAGGTGCGATATGTTGGGTCCTTCTACAATGAGTCTCCCAGTCCACCATGGCTTGTTGGCATTGATCGAGTCGTGGTTTTGATTTTTAAATCTTTAAAGAACTTGTATGCTTTCAGTTATTGGCAGTAAGCTAGCAGCTTGTATTGCTTTTCTTGTATATGGTCAGACAAGAAAGTTCAAGATGCATCTTCTAGAGCATTATTTAAGGATTTTTAGCATCTTTACTGGCGCAAGCGGCAAAGCACATATAAAAAAAAAAAAAAAATGCATGATGATGAGTACTAGGTGATGAGGTCTATATATTTAGAAGCACACTATTACTCAGCTTGGTGTGTTTTGCAAATTTTAATCACTAAGATGAATATAACAATAATAACATTTAAATGAATAGTACTACTATGATTAGTATTATTATTAATATTACAGTTACTTTTATTGTTATGTAACTTGATTTATTTGTTTAATTTTTTTTTAGTTTTAACTATTAAGAGACTATACTGCACTATGGTTAAAGTGTTTATTTTTTTTAATTTTATAACTGTTAAAAAAAATGTAACTCAACCTAATCAGTAAATTGTTTTTCTTATTCATAAGGAAGAGGAGAAAAATCTGTATTCTAAAGTTTGAAATGATAAAATATCAAATATAAATAAAATGGCTTGTTATTTGAATATTTATAGGTTTAACCAGAGTATCCCATGAAATGTCAAATTGTGTGGTCAGTGCCATGTGGGGTTGGTAGTCATGTCTGTCCACAGCCTTCTGTCTTGTGAGTTATGTACTTTCAGTCATTTCTGACACACATGATCTTCAATTCAATGCCATGTGGGGTTGGTAGTCATGTCTGTCCACAGCCTTCTGCCTTATGAACTTTCACCCATTTCTGACACACATGATCTTTAATGCCATGAGGTCAGTCAAACTGTTCAGGATCTTCTCTCAGACTCTCCCTCTGCCCCCCCCCCCCCCTTCCATCATGATGCACGATGTACTCCAGTTGTTTCATTCTCAAGGCATGACCAAAGAATGTAGATTATCTCCTTCTGATGTAGGCCGTCATTTCTCTCGTGATGAGATGACCAAAGAATGTAGATTATCTCCTTCTGATGTAGGCCGTCATTTCTCTTGTGGTGAGATCACCAAAGAATGTAGATTATCTCCTTCTGATGTAGGCCGTCATTTCTCTCATGGTGAGATGACCAAAGAATGTAAATTCTCTCCTTCTGATGTAGGCCAACATTTCTCTCATGGTGAGATGACCAAAGTATGTAGATTCATCTCCTTCTGATGTAGGCCGTCATTTCTCTCATGGTGAGATGACCAAAGAATGTAGATTTATCTCCTTCTGATGTAGGCCGTCATTTCTCTCGTGGTGAGATGACCAAAGAATGTAGATTTATCTCCTTCTGATGTAGGCAGTCATTTCTCTCGGGGTGAGTCAGTTTCAAGACATCTTTTTTATTCATTACTCTGTTCATCTGACCAGGTCCAGGGTATTCTCATTATTTATCAATAAAACCGCATCCCCATCACTTGCTTATAATTGTTCATAAATCATCCAACTCTCCACGATACATCAACTTAAATCATGAAAATCCCCCCCCCCCCCCCCCCCCCCCCCCCCAAAAAAAGATTGTTGTAGAACCAGTTCAATTAGATTCAGATAAAGTAATTTTAATATAGTTGACAAATTATAAGGCAGTGTCTAAATAAAGTATGTACATTCATTTTATATTGATATTCAAATTTTCTTGAATTAATTGTTTGATCAGTGATTTATTAATATTAAGAATTTACATATGAAACCGGGCATACACATAGGAGCTCCGTCTCCCACAGCAAATGTTTTAAGCAACATATGCTAACTGTTGCGGTAGCACACTGATTATATATACACCCGTCATGTCATACATCCATCCCCCCTCTGCTGGATCCACAATCGTTCACTTATTTTTCACACAAGTTATTGAACCTGACCTGGTGTCTTTCAACAGTATTTATTTCATGGTCTTGAGAATCTTTCCTTTGTGAAACTTTGTCTGATGACCTGGTGTCTTTCAACAGTATTTATTTCATGGTCTTGAGAATCTTTCCTTTGTGAAACTTTGTCCAGTGACCTGGTGTCTTTCAACAGTATTTATTTCATGGTCTTGAGAATCTTTCCTTTGTGAAACTTTGTCTGATGACCTGGTGTCTTTCAACAGTATTTATTTCATGGTCTTGAGAATCTTTCCTTTGTGAAACTTTGTCTGATGACCTGGTGTCTTTCAACAGTATTTATTTCATGGTCTTGAGAATCTTTCCTTTGTGAAACTTTGTCTGATGACCTGGTGTCTTTCAACAGTATTTATTTCATGGTCTTGAGAATCTTTCCTTTGTGAAACTTTGTCCAATGACCTGGTGTCTTTCAACAGTATTTATTTCATGGTCTTGAGAATCTTTCCTTTGTGAAACTTTGTCTGATGACCTGGTGTCTTTCAACAGTATTTATTTCATGGTCTTGAGAATCTTTCCTTTGTGAAACTTTGTCCAGTGACCTGGTGTCTTTCAACAGTATTTATTTCATGGTCTTGAGAATCTTTCCTTTGTGAAACTTTGTCTGATGACCTGGTGTCTTTCAACAGTATTTATTTTATGGTCTTGAGAATCTTTCCTTTGTGAAACTTTGTCTGATGACCTGGTGTCTTTCAACAGTATTTATTTCATGGTCTTGAGAATCTTTCCTTTGTGAAACTTTGTCTGATGACCTGGTGTCTTTCAACAGTATTTATTTCATGGTCTTGAGAATCTTTCCTTTGTGAAACTTTGTCCAATGACCTGGTGTCTTCCAACAGTATTTATTTTGTGGTCTTCAGAACCTTTCCTTTGTGAAACTTTGTCCAGTGACCTGGTGTCTTCCAACAGTATTTATTTCATGGTCTTCAGAATCTTTCCTTTGTGAAACTTTGTCTGATGACCTGGTGTCTTTCAACAGTATTTATTTCATGGTCTTGAGAATCTTTCCTTTGTGAAACTTTGTCCAGTGACCTGGTGTCTTTCAACAGTATTTATTTCATGGTCTTGAGAATCTTTCCTTTGTGAAACTTTGTCTGATGACCTGGTGTCTTTCAACAGTATTTATTTCATGGTCTTGAGAATCTTTCCTTTGTGAAACTTTGTCTGATGACCTGGTGTCTTTCAACAGTATTTATTTCATGGTCTTGAGAATCTTTCCTTTGTGAAACTTTGTCTGATGACCTGGTGTCTTTCAACAGTATTTATTTCATGGTCTTCAGAATCTTTCCTTTGTGAAACTTTGTCCAGTGTCCTGGTGTCTTCCAACAGTATTTATTTCGTGGTCTTCAGAATCTCTCCTTTGTGAAACTTTGTCCAGTGTGTGTGTTCCTCTATTCAGAAAATCCCCTCTTTCATTGCCCTGCACACCTGCATATTCCAGACAGTAATGTTATCACAGACGACTATTAAATTAGTTACTAAGGAAAAAAAAGATGTTTGATAAAACTTACGAATTTGATCAAAGGCCAGATAAATTTATTTAATTATTATTTTACATTCTAGTATTTTTCAGCATGATGTCAGAAACACATTTAGTTGTAAAAAAAAAAGAAATCTAAAGTGCTAAGATGGTGATAGCTATATTTCTTTTTCTTGTTCACCGGCTGTAACTCCAAAGGGTGTTTGTGCATCTCTGGACTTTATATAGTCTTATTCCAGAATGTGAGTGTTGTGTACACATGTTTTACAGCGCTGACTTGTGTGTATGCAGACTGTTGGTTCCTTGCCTTAGGCAGATACACTCTTACTTTGAAGGAAGACCTAATTAATAAACTCTTACAACATGCTTGTTGGAGAGGCAGTGGGTTTATTTTTGTTTTCGTTATAAAAGGGCCCACGGAACCCACACAGGGACATCTTACTGTCCTTTTTAGGATGCAATTTTTCGTTATTTGAAGCCCTACTCTGGCTCATGCCAGGGGCCTCAATATAGCCTGGCCATAAATATGGCCTAATGGCTGAACGCGGTTTCTGGGACCTCTCCGCGGTGATCCTCATCCACATGGTGGCCCATTGTGTCATCAGATGTTTATCGCTTGTGTGATTTCCTAGTGGGGTAGAAATCAGTCAGTCAGTCACACAGGGATAAGTCATATTTCAAAACATAAGGAAAATTAGAGTTAGACTGTATAGATATGCATAATAATGTTGTATGAGGGGATGTCTTTCCTGTAGGGTCCAGGGCCCCGTTTTGGATGAAAAAGCTCCCGGTGTGGGTTCCAGGGCCCTGTAATAGGGAAAACAAGAATAGACCCACTGACTACCCAAAAGCATTTCTTAAAAGTAGACTAGTTGGGAGCGTGATTTAAAGTCGGAGTGCATCTGCCTGAGAGGCAAGGAACCAGCAGTCTGCATACACATGAGTCAAATCTGTAAAATGGATGCACACGCAACACTCAGGTTCTGGAACAGGACTGCAGTCCAGAAGTGGATGAATAACCAGAACTTTGTGCCAGAGTTTACAGCTGGTGAATGCGAAGAAGAAAAGAAAAAGCAATAGACCAACATGCCTGAGACAAAGTATGTGACTTACTAACTTGTTGAAATTGGATGTATTGGGTTGAAAGCACCTGAGCTGCAACACAGCTTGACAACAGCTCAAGAGCAAACACAAAAGAAGAGAAAAAAAGATGTGAATCACCAACTTTGACCAGACTGCTAGAATTAGAACAAATGGTTGAAAGCAAATGTGAGCTGTAAGCAGGAGGCCATGAAGAACTGTAGACTGACATCGTCGGCTGTCATGTCCTTAAGACTATGCTGAGGGGACCAGTGGACTGACTTGTTTGATGTGTGATTAGGATGATCTGTCAGCTATTTGTAGAAAGTGTTCAGAAGTCACGCTAAACCTACATCACCTGGATCCACACACCCAGGCTTTCTGGAGACAGAGATAATGAATGAGCTGCAACTGGCAAGTAATGCACAATTGCATACTGGAAGAAGCAGGGACAGAGCTGTAGCAATTGCTAGGCTGGACAGTGGTGAATCTCTTACGCTAGCACAGGTGGGTGACTTGGGAGTAAAGCTTGGTGAAGCACTTCACTTCAAGAAGGTTACACACTTTAACAAGCTTGTCTTTGGAACAATCAGTAAAGATACTTTAAAGTTGCTGCTGCATTGAAGGACTAAGCGTGGATGTGTAACCCTAATGTGCAGTGACATCGATTGTGATAACACAACGGTGTGTCAAAGCAATGTTTCCCCATTGGGAATTTGAAGAAAGAAGGCACAAGTAGTAGATTGCACAGTATATTGCCTGGCATATTTCGCTGTATCTTGTCGAATGCATACTGATCGATGACTGGAGAAGCGGGTTGCTGAACATATTCCACTAATGGTGGCAAAACTAACAACGAATCAAGGTGACTGGTTGGAAAAATCTCCCATCAACCATTGCATGCCATATTTTGGGTTCAGGGCACATTGTGAACAAGGAATGTGCATTTCAAATTATTTACACTTCAGCCATATTATTGAGATTTGCTGAAATAACCACTATTAACCAATTTAATGCAGACAAAAGGACATGGTCTTCACCTTGCATTTACCCTGGTGAAACATTTTTTTAGTGAAGTCGATTTATTGTTTCAGTTAAAATTCATTTATTGGCGTCATTTTAGTCAATTGTTATTATCTCTGCACCTGATGAGGTACAGGGAAATATGCCAGGCAGTAAATTGCACAACAGTATGTGTTTATATAGTACAGTTTACATGTTTCAATTTGCGACCTCACAAGTTGTCTCACTTTTATTTTCAGTGTGTTTGATACAGAATTGGGTAGCAGCAAATTTCGACAGTTCAGCGTTTACACAGTAGAACATTGCAGGCACCGTCTGCTTCAAAGTTTCTTCTCAGGTGGGGGTCGGTCCCTTCTGAGAGCCTACCTCAGCAACAAGATGCCCCTACCAAGCAGAGCACGTGTCTACGCTGACATTAACACACACAAGCCCAGGGAATATTGGGATTATGAATCCCATGTTGTGGATTGGGGGTGAGTTGATTTAATGATTGTGTCAAAATATAAACAGCATATTCACTCCAACATTAAGCTACCAGTGCCAAACATGGACACTATCTAAAGGCTTAAACGCAAAATCACCACCTGCGAGATGAGATGCCTGAGAAAAGCAGCCAACCTAGCCATCCGAGATTGAGTAAATAAAAAAACTATCAGGCAAATTGTGGAAACAACACCTTGTTCAAGGTTCATCGAAAAAACAGCAGATCAAGTGGTTTGGCTATCTCGTTAAAATGCAGCAAGATTAAATACCATCACAAGCACTGCATCTCAGAAGATCAGTTACAAGAGCCAGATGATGGCCGCTGAAAAAATGGATCAACATTAAAGACATTCTACGCCTTCCCGGCATGACATCGCAAACTATTCCTCCCCATGACACTTAATGGCAAAAGTGGTTTATGATGATGATGATGTCAAACTCTGTGCACACCTGCACCTTATGGGTCTTGCTAATTGTGCCTCTTCTCTTTCTCTTTTACCACTTCAAATGTCGAGGAAGATATCAGATCTTTTGGCTGCCGCAACCATAGATAGACACATCATGTTTGTGTAGAGGTTCTCAAATGTTATCGTCCCATCTTTGTAGAGGTTCTGGTATCTTTCTATCGCTGTAGAGGTTCTCGAATGTTATCTTTCCATCGCTGTAGAGGTTCTCGAATGTTATCTTTCCATCATTGTAGAGGTTCTTTAATGTTATCTCTCTTTATCGTTTGTAGAGGTTCTCTGATGTTATCTCTCCATCTTGGCATTTTTCTTAGATAAAGTTAGATAATTCAGTTATATAATCACCAGGGAGACACTTTTAGTCACCATGGAAACTAGAAGTCCTGTGTATCTGCGTCCTTGTTTGGCTTCAGAGGCCACTATTTCGGTAGACATCTGCATCCTTGTTTGGCTTCAGAGGCCACTATTTTGGTAGACATCTGCATCCTTGTTTGGCTTCAGGGGCCACTATTTTGGTAGACATTTGCATCCTTGTTTGGCTTCAGGGGCCACTATTTTGGTAGACATTTGCGTCCTTGTTTGGCTTCAGGGGCCCTTATTTCGGTAAACATTTGCATCCTTGTTTGGCTTCAGAGGCCACTATTTTGGTAGACATTTGCGTCCTTGTTTGGCTTCAGAGGCCACTATTTTGGTAGACATTTGCATCCTTGTTTGGCTTCAGGGGTCACTATTTTGGTAGACATTTGCGTCCTTGTTTGGCTTCAGAGGCCACTATTTTGGTAGACATTTGCGTCCTTGTTTGGCTTCAGAAGCCACTATTTCGGTAGACACAAAGAATAGTGCCACTGCCCCTGACAAGCATGTCCCACAGGACCACAAATTAAGTTTTTCTGAATTCATCTAAACTACGACACATCGCACCCATCACCCTTTTAAGTAAGTAAATGGACCTGTTTTCATGCTTTCAGACCTAAACTTTATAGACCAATTAGCACTCCATGGGTGGTGGCTGCCTTTACTTCTCTGGACTTTACCAGGCACCCGTTTAGGGCAAGGTTGACCTGAAGCCAAGTTTATTTTTGAAGAAACCATGACCTTTAGATCCATAGGTAGGTGTCTAGCCACTACACCACTGTGGCTCTGTTTTGGGTCTGACCCTGTTTTTATATCATTTTCAGAAACCAAGATGATTATCAGGTAGTTCGAAAACTCGGCAGAGGAAAGTACAGCGAGGTATTTGAGGCTGTCAACGTCACAAACAATGAGAAATGTGTGATAAAGATTTTAAAGGTATGAGTTTTGAGCTGCTGTGTTTTATGTTCACTTGTCATTAAAATATTACCGTAAATTGCTGAATATTGGCCCAGTTTTCAAGCCTGAAATCTGTCCAGAACTAGGGGGCCAATGCATTTACATTTTCAGATAAATCGAAAGAAGACTATAGTTTCTTTTGCTTTCTGTGTCCCAGTAGAGCATAGGGTGCTATATTAATATCTTACCCCAAATGGGAAATCCACAGGTCACGGGACGGCCTGATATTTCAGGGGCCTAGGCTGCACCCTCTCTTGGGACGTAGGTGGGTTGGGGCTAGGACCAGTTTGAGATGTTTTGGGGTCATAAAGCCAGGAAACCCAGTCTTACCACCCTTTAAAATGTTGGACTGTCCTATGGCGACATCTGGGGTAGGCTATTAATAAAGAACCGAGCATAGTTCCTAAGCCAACTTTTATCACTTAGTTCTGTTTATTGCAATCATCTGTCTTTTTAACTTTACTGTCTAGCTTCCATCTCCTTGTGTTTGTGTTTTGGGGGGGGGGGGGGGGTAAGGAGGGGTTTGCACTAGGTAGGTATATTCCTAGAATAAGACAATGGCTTGCTGACAACTTATCACAAACAGGGATCAGGATATGAGAAGAGGGAAGCTGGAAGATTCTTGACAGCCTTTTATCGGGGCATGGAGGGATGTCACCACATGAACTGATACACGCAGTCAGTCGCGGATCGTAGAGAGGCATGATCGCCCACGCCAGTTGGCAAAGCACTTCTTGTTGCGGTTTAGGCCTAACTCCAGATTTCAAGCTAAAAATCTTGCTGTGATTGCTCATAGTATGCTTTGGCAGGTGGTATATGTATGCATTTAGTCTTTGAAAATGTATCAGCTAATTGCTCTCACTTTATTTTTGAAAAGCATAAAGGAAATATGTTACCCAAGAATAGGTTCATCACCCCCCCCCCCCCCCCCCCCTTTCCCCTTCCAATTGGCTAGAAGACTAATTGGGGGTGTTTCTTTGAAAGTCGGAGTGCATCTGCCTGAGAGGCAAGAAACCAGCAGTCTGCATACCAAGATCTGTAAAATGGATGTGCATACAAAACTCAGGTTCTGGTTCAAGACTGAAGTCTAGATCAAGACTGAACAACCATAACTTTCTTCGGAGTTTTACACTTGGTGAATGATAAGTAAGAGGAGAAAAAAATAAGATATGATAATCGGTAATTTATAAAATGCACATTTTTTGTATATGTATACAAGACATTTTGGAATATATTTTTTTTTTCAAATGCAGCATTCAAGCTGATGTTTTGTTGTTTTTCATTCCTTATTTCAGCCAGTAAAAAAGAAGAAAATCAAAAGAGAAATCAAGATTTTAGAAAACCTCAGGGGAGGCACCAATGTCATTACATTGATGGCGATAGTCAAAGACCCAGTGGTAAGTTTTGTTGTCACTTTCCAATACACTCCAGTGTCATGACACTATAGTTAGTTGTGTATCCTTCACAGAACATTGCAGAGCCAACTCTTGCTTATTTTGGCTGTTGTGGTTTTTATGGACAGAATTGCCGTTCATTTGTTTGCCATTGCTTTCTCAACAGTCAGCTCTTGTTGCCAGTGTCGAAACCAGCGCAATGTCCGCAGCTGGGATTGAACCTGGCATTAGAAAGCACGCTTGCATCACTTATGCATTAAGCTATAGATCATTCCTATAAATAAACAGAGGGGGAACCTTTGGGGCCGTTAAATATTATGAATTAATCAAGTAACAGAAAGTGTATTGATTAAACTAGATGTATGTTATTGATGTTCTTTGTCTCAAAGTTACAGTTTTATTATCCATGTGTGGGTTTCAGAGGCGTCATTGAATAGACACACGTGCCCTTTAACAGGCATGTAGTGGAAGACCAAAGAAGGTGAGGCTATATTAGGCACAGCCAGAGATTTACCAGACAGGCACTGCAATGGGAAAGAAAGGACACCCAGGAGAAACCTTAAAATAAACATGATGAGAGAAGCCAAGGGTGCTGGACTGGATTCCATCCATGGTATTAAAGGATTGTTCTGGATAGAACGGAATGGACTAGACTACAAGCTGATTGTTGCATACAACACACGGATGATGATGATGAAAGAGGATATTGATCACATGACTTACTGGAAGGCTAACCCGTTCAACAAATGCCCGCAGAAGTTGGATGTGTTGGCCGGAGGGTGTGAATATCACAGTGATGCTGTAAACGACACAACGCAATGAAATTTGTGGATGAATGCAAAACGTCACATGACCTACTTGTTATCAGTTATGAAAATGTCGAGTTAGCACCATATATACCTAACTGCTAGCAAAGTTAACTTTATTTACCCCATGCTCATAATAAAGCCACAAGGATATAAACTGGGTCTGTTACTCTTAGGTGGCTCACAGTGGCATTTTTATTCTACTCTCAACCCTTTGGCCTCAAGAAGCAGCAAAAACCACACTTCTGGTGGGGGCCAATTTTCTGGAAATGTCTGACTTTTCTATAGTGATCTGTTTATGAGATGTGTAGTTGATGCTGTTAGTTGTGTTACGTCTGTGCAAATGTTTATGAGATGTGTAGTTGATGCTGTTAGTTGTGTTACGTCTGTGCAAATGTTTATGAGATGTGTAGTTGGTGCTGTTAATTGTGTTACGTCTGTGCAAATGTTTATGAGGTCAAGATGTAAGTATATTAACTAAAAACATTTATAATGATTTTTTTAAACACCAATTGAATAAAAAAAAAAAATAAAGTTCACATCAGGTTAACTCGCAAAATCTCAGTGCTTCTGCATTAGAAGAGGGAGGGAGCTACCAGTTTGCATATAAATAAACCATATTTGTAAAAACAGACGCAGAGCTCAAGTTCTGGAATAGTACCACCAAAGTCCAGAAGTGGATGAACAACCAGAACTTTCCTCTGGAGTTTACAGCTGGTGAGAGCTAAGAAGAAGAAAAAACCGTGGGGGGGGGGGGGGGGGGGGGGGGGGGGGGGGGGGGGGGTGGGGGGGGGGGGTTCTTTCAAATTTCACTTGTCTTCATCTAAATATTCCAGTTAAAGTTTGTTAAAAAATTTATTTTTAATTAAAACATGTTTTCTTCCCTCCCTCTTACAGTCGCGGACTCCAGCCCTTATATTCGAGCATGTAAATAACACTGACTTCAAGGTAAGCAGACACATTGTGATTAGAAAATGGCAAACTTGGAAGAATTTTTTTCTTTTCTTTGTGAGGTGCATTTATACTTGCAACATTTTATCAGTTTAATCTTGTAAATACACTTTTTAACACAGTTAAAAAAAACATACAGGTACCTTTTTGTCTTCACGACCAGTTTGTAAATTGACTTCCTCTTTTCATATCACATTTTTCCGTAAAGTTTTGGGGGGGGGGGGGGTTATTTTAAGGGTGACCACCTGGAAATGGTTTAGTAGAACCTTGGGGTTCATTGCTGCAGATATCCCCTCCCTCCATTCATCTCTCTGTTTGGCCTTTTCTTTCCAGTTGGTGACACCAAATGTTTGCAGGTCCCTGTCTGGACATTATTTCTCCATCGTCTTTTTGGTCTGCCTCATGGTCTATGACCATTTATCTCCCTTGTGTATACAGTTTTTACTTCTCTGTCATCAGACATTCTCTTAATATACCCCAGCTATTTCAGCCTATTAGCTCTCTTGATGCCAGTGATCAATGGTGATTTAAACAGATTATGAATTTCATTGTTGCTTCTCACTCTCCAAATTTTCCACTATTTTCATTTTTTATATGTCAAAAGATTCATCGTAATACTCTGTTTTTGAAAACATGTAATACACCTTCATCTCTTTTAGTTGTGCTCCAAATTTCAGAGCCATATAAAACAACTGGTCTTATCAGCATTTTATACATTTTAATCTTGGTGTTGCGAGATAGAGGCTTTGACTTAAGCAGATGTTGAAGGGCATACATAGTATACTTTATTTCCAGATTGTATTTCTTCTCTCAGCATGTTGGAGCACTCAAAGTTTGGAATACAAATTCTTAAGAATATTCAGGCTGGATTCATCACACAAGAATCTTTCATGTTGTTGTGCTGTTAGCTTTGTCAAGACTGCAGTCTCTTTGAATTCATCTTCACACAGGGTGATGGACATTTTGTGAGGTTTAACTGGCCTAGGAAGGAAGCGTTTATGGGGTGACTTAGTTGCTGTAAAGTTGGAACAGTGACCGACTAACCAGCTCTTGCTCATTTGTTTTACTTTTAACTGCAGTAGGGTTTTTTATGAGCATTATATCTTTTAATGTAGCCGAGATATGTCTTTTAATGTAGCCGAGATATTTCATGTTCCTTTTTTATAGCAAGACTGTCAGGAAGTGTGTTAAAATGTCTTACATGTCATTTTGATTAGGTTGCCAGGCAAGATCAGATTTTTCAGCAGATATAAAATTTTAACATATTGTGGCATAGGATTCAATTTGAGAAATTATCAGGCATGTATTTGTTTAATGTATGCTTTCTTTTCTCTGCAGCAATTGTACCAAACTTTCATAGACTACGATATACGTTTCTACCTGTATGAGCTGCTAAAGGTGAGTGTTATAGGGTTTCTTATATAGAGGGTGTCTTTTATGATGTCTCTGTAATTAGTGTCTCTTACATATTTCACATCATTTCTTATGTACATGATATCTTTTTCAGGAATGTTTATTTTTTTTTTTTTTGCAGTTTCTTCAGGGTGTCTAGTTTTTACAGCCAGTTATTTAAGTGACCCCCTGGTGGGCACTAGTGTTTGGAATTCTTTGCCCTTTGTTGTTGTCGTGTAGATTATGTTGAGAAAGACTCCAGCCATAACGTGGATTTGTCCTTCACAATGTCCCTAAAAGCAGATTTTCACAATTCTAACGCGCAGAGTATTTTTTAGCATGTTTAACCTTTTTACAAGTCTGGTCTCTCACTTACAAAGTGTCTTTCTTAAGGGTGTGTCTTCTTTGTCTTCATTTTCAGTGACTGTAAACTCTGGCAAAAAGTATCCACAGCTTCCTCACCCATAAACCACTTTCCATGTTCCCCATGTGTCGCACTGTCTACAGCTTCCTCACCCATAAACCACTTTCCATGTTCCCCATGTGTCGCACTGTCTACTAGGGCTGTACCGAATATTTGCTTCGTATTCGCTTCGGGGTCGAATAGTGGACATATTGACTATTTGGTATTCGCCCGAATAGTTGCGGTCGGGGCGAATACGAATAATGGTTACCTTACACCGACTTTTGCATACACGGCCTTAATACCGACAACATAGAATGATTTTCTTATTTTAAAAAAAAAAATGTTTTTTGTTGTTGTTTGTTTTAAGATATATTTTATACGCAATACACTATTCGTATTCAGCCGAATTGTTGGTCCCGTTATTTGTATTTTGCCGAATAGTGAAAATCACTATTCGGTACAGCCCTAGTGCTCCCTCACCCATAAACCACTTTCCATATTTCCCATGTGTCACACTACAGCTTCCTCACCCATGAACCACTTTCCATATTCCCCATGTGTCACACTACAGCTTCCTCACCCATGAACCACTTTCCATATTCCCCATGTGTCACACTACAGCTTCCTTACCCATAAACCCCACTTTCCATGCTCCCCATGTGTCACACTACAGCTCCCTCACCTATAAACCCCACTTTCCATGTTCCCCATGTGTCGCACTGTCTACTGCTTCCTCACCCATAAACCACTTTCTATGTTCCCCATGTGTCACACAAGTTCCCTCACCCATAAACCATTTCCCATTTTTCACACCATCTACAGTTCCGTCACAATAAACCACTCTCCATTTTCTCCGTGTGTCACACAAATTACCCACAACAAACCACTTCCCACCTGACACACAGCCTACAGTTCCCTCACAGTTAACCACTTCCCACCTGACACAGCCTACAGTTCCCTCACAGTAAACCACTTCCCACCTGACAAAGCCTACAGTTCCCTCACAGTAAACCACTTCCCACCTGACACAGCCTACAGTTCCCTCACAGTAAACCACTTCCCACCTGACACACAGCCTACAGTTCCCTCACAGTAAACCACTTCCCACCTGACACACAGCCTACAGTTCCCTCACAGTAAACCACTTCCCACCTGACACAGCCTACAGTTCCCTCACAGTAAACCACTTCCCACCTGACACAGCCTACAGTAAACCACTTCCCACCTGACACAGCCTACAGTTCCCTCACAATAAACCACTCTCCATGTTCTCGTACAGGCGCTGGATTACTGCCACAGTATGGGAATTATGCACCGGGACGTCAAGCCTCACAATGTGATGATTGACCATGAAAACAAGAAGGTGAGTACACTGTTAGTCCTCTGTGAGATATATGTTCACCAGGCAGTGATTGGCACTCATAGAATTAATCTACAAAATGTATTGGGGAATAGATGTGCACAACGCAAGTTCTGAAATAAGACCAAAATCCAGAAACTGTTCCCTGGTGTTTTTTACAGCCAATAAACAGTGGTCAAGCTGTTTGCCTCCCGAAGGTTGTGGGTTTGTTTCCTGGACTGCGCCATTTGGTTCATGGGCACAGATTTTGCAGTCTTCTTCTTCAACAATCTCTGGTCATGCGTATAATCCACTGTGGGCCATAAACTGGGATGTCATCTCAAGGTCTCTTAGGTTTTCCTAAAGCTTAGTTGTCAGGTCTACTGGGTGTTGCCACATGTTGCTCCGCCAAGAGAGGACAGTCTTGCAAGACATGTTCTAGAGTCCGTTCAGCACAAAGACGCTGGAAGACAGCTGTTTGTCTCATACCTATTTTGTATAAATGTTGTTACAATGATCCATGTGGCTGCGGAATGATAATAAAATGGCAGCGCAAATATCAGTATTGGGACCTCTATGGACAGGAGAGTGATCATCAGTGCCATACAAGAGACTAAACGGTGTGAGGCTTTCAGTTTCATGGAACATGAGTTTTCACTGAATAGGCTGCATGCCCTAGGTGAACCAGTTAAAGCAGTGAGACAGGAAAACCATAGGGGAACCCCGCCGTTACATCAGCGAGAACAGAATGAGAGCTGTTAGCCTAAAAATACTTGGAGACATACTCAGGAAGAGATGGGAGCACTTTTGGCCATATGCGATGGAGATGTTCTTTAAAAGAACAATAAAATGGTCACTACCCAACATGCCATGCCAACATGACATTGAAAAAACTCATCTTTAAGGCTGCCCATTTTCCATGTATATATTCTCTTTTTAACTTTTAGCATAAATTTTCTTGTTGCAGGTAGCATTTATATGTGAAAGGGAAATTGCATCCTGCCAGCCACATTTAATTTCCAGGATATTTCGTGCTACCTGCTTTAGAAAATGTTACTTGAAGCCGATTCAAACCCAAGATCACGGGCTGGCAGGCAAACATATAGCCATTATGTTTAACTAAGGCCCCTCCCCCCCCCCCCCCCCCCCCCCCCCCCCCCCCCCCCCCCCCTTGCCCCCCTCCTCACTCCAAACTCCGTGTCGCCCCCCCCCCCCCTTTCCTTCTTCCTCAGAATGTCTTTACATTGTAAAATTGTTCCTAGTTTGTCATCTTGTAATGATTTATTTCTTGTTGACACAGCTTCGTCTGATTGACTGGGGTTTAGCAGAATTCTACCATCAAGGCATGGAGTACAACGTCCGGGTTGCATCCAGATACTTCAAAGGGCCAGAACTGTTGTTAGATTATCAGGTAATGGTTGTTTGCTGTCAGCATTTTACTCACACACAAAAACTGATTGTATATATCAGGAGACAATATCTATTCTTTAGTCGTGTCATGAGAAGGAATAAACGAGTACATTCTGACAGGGGGGGGGGAAGCAGAAGGTGGGGGGAGAAGATGCTAGGCAGTTTGACATTTTGGCATGGAAGATCATCTGTCAGAAATGATGGAAAGTTCATGGCACAGAAGGTTTTGGATAGACAAGACTAACAACGCCACTTGGCATGGAAGATCATCTGTCAGAAATGATGGAAAGTACATGGCACAGAAGGTTTTGGATAGACAAGACTAACAACGCCACTCGGCGTGAGCTATAAGAATATTGTTATCTTTCACTGTTGTTTATGGTCATCATAGTCCATAATAGCAGTGTGTAGTTATATAAAGCAGACTTCATGTTTTTATCCTTAAGGCCTGTCCATTCGTCCAAATTCTGTATCCTGAGTCCTTCTTGGTCAGCCTCTTCTCCTCTGCCAAGCCCTTTAGTATTGATAAGCTGGACATTAGCAATAGGCGGATGGGAGTACAATGGTAGTGGAAATGTAGTTTCTCAGGAAAATGTGAAGAATACAATGAACAGATAGCAAAGAAAAAACCAATACCATGTATGGACAGAAAAAAAAAAGAATATTACCATGTATGGACAGAAAAAAAAAGAATAAACCCATTTGCTGACAGAAGAAAAAAAAAGAATATTACCATGTACGGACAGAAAACAAAAAGAATAAACCCATTTGCTGACAGAAGAAAAAAAAAAGAATATTACCATGTACGGACAGAAAACAAAAAGAATAAACCCATTTGCTGACAGAAAAAAAAAATGAATAAACACATTTGCTGACAGAAGAAGAAAAAAGAATACCATATATGGACAGAAAAAAAAAGAATAATGCCATATACAGACATAAATCTTTGTTGTTGAATCCACTTAATCATAAACATGTCTACCACCAATGGATGGGTAACAAACATATTGTAGAAGCCAGGCTGTCCAAGTGCAACCCATTGATAAGAGAGACCTGAGGTGCCGGACTACATGGCATTCAGGAGACTTACTAGTCCCATATCTCTATGAGCTGGTAATTTCCATGTCATTCTATAGCACAGTATAACTCTAGCTTCTTCAAAGATAACAAGGTGATAACAACATAGAAAAGTGCTAAAAACAGGTACTAGCAATATCGAGGTGCTAAAACAATGTAAAAAAATGGTGATATCAAATGTGCTAATAACGATGTAAAAAAAAGGTGCCAAAAACATAAAAAGGTGCCAAAAACATACCAGTAATATAGAAAGATCCCCCCCTCCCACCCCCCCAAAAAATTAACCCCCAAAAAAGTATCAGAAACAATGTAAAAAGATGCCTACATAGAAAGGTGTCAACTTCCTCACACATCTGCATGTTCTACATGTTGTTGCTCTTGTTTCAGATGTACGACTATTCCTTAGACATGTGGAGCCTGGGTTGCATGTTTGCCAGCATGATTTTCCGAAAGGAACCCTTCTTTCATGGCCACGACAATTATGACCAGGTGGGTCTTGTCCGTGATCGTCCTCTGTTTTATTTAATAACTTTTTTCCCCCCCCCCCCTAGGAAGTTAGTAATCTAAAAGAGTTCAGCTGCTCATAGCCTTTATTTATCCCCATTTCTTAGTCTGTATTTCCCCCTCCATTGGCTCGAAGACTTGCTAAGTCCATGGCTTAGGCGCTGCGATTCTGACTTGTAATTCCAGCATACCGCGTTTGAAACCTACTGCAGGTTGCGTGGATTTTTTATCCTTGGTATAGGGCGTTGCAGGTCGACCCAGCCATAAATGGTTACCAGGATGTATGTCCTGGGAAAGTAAAGAGGGCCGGCGTAATGTTGACCACATTTCCCACTTAGTGCCGATTGGTCTGTACAAATATGGGTGCTCTTCCCATATGCCTGATGCACCTAAGTCGTAAAAAGGGATCTTTACTTTACTATCTCCTCTAAGACCCCCAGCCACCTGAAGCAAAGGTTAAGAAAAGGTAGGTCAATTAACCCCTTTCACACAGTGGTGCATCAAGCATCCACTCGGAAGATTGTAGGGTCAGCATCATATCAGCTGCCTGCTCGTGTGGATTTCGGGGACCCCATTGTGGAGAAAACAAGAATAGACCCACTGCCTCCCCGTGTGGATTCGGGGACCCCATTGTGGAGAAAACAAGAATAGACCCACTGCCTCCCCGTGTGGATTCGGGGACCCCATTGTGGAGAAAACAAGAATAGACCCACTGCCTCCCCGTGTGGATTCGGGGACCCCATTGTGGAGAAAACAAGAATAGACCCACTGCCTCCCCGTGTGGATTCGGGGACCCCATTGTGGAGAAAACAAGAATAGACCCACTGCCTCCCCGTGTGGATTCGGGGACCCCATTGTGGAGAAAACTAGATGTAGACCCACTGCCTCAGCAACAGGCATGTCGTAAGGGTCGACTAATTGGGAGCTTCCTTCAAAGCCTGAGAGGCAGGAAACCAACAGTGTGCATAAAGATAAGCGAGATCTGTAAAACAGATGCTCACACAAAACTCAGGTCCTGGATCAAAGCCAGAGTCCAGAAATGGACGAACAACCCGGGTTCTGCAGCCTGTGAACGCAAACAGAGGCAACATTGAATGACCCCTTTCACATAGTGATCCATCTGGCATATGGTGCTGGCCCCATTTTTTATAGACCACTCGATGGATTGTATAGTCAACATTATGTCAGTTGCCTTTACTTGCCCTGACTTCACTTGTTGCCCACCTTAAGCTGAGTCAACCTGGAAGTCAATATGGCTTTTGACTAGAATCATATTTGAACCCAAGACATCGTCTGATGCCTCACATCTCTTGCTTCAACAACCCCCCCACCCTGTTCATTTATCCTTAATGGAGGGAAAGCCTAATGTTCTGATAACCTATAAATCGTTTACTTTCTTTCTTATTTTTTCTCTCTATCACTTTTTCTGAAAGGCCCCCCCCCCCCCCCCCCCCCCCCCCCCGTTTAGGTTTTGGGGTCCCATTTTAGGAAAAACCGGAATAGACTAAATGCCTCTCTAACAAGCATGTTGTAGGAGTTGTGTAATTGGGGACACCCTTTAAAGTCAGTACATCTGCCTGAGAGGCAAGGAACCAAGAGTCTGCATACAAATAAGCCAGATCTGTGAAATGGGTATGCACCTAGAACCCAAGTTCTGGAACAAGACTAAAGGTCGAAGGTGGGCAAACACCCAAAACTTTCTGCCAGAGTTTACAGTCGGGGAACATGAAGAAATCTTGTTCACAGCTGGTTGTATTTTGCAGCACAATCTCCATGGAAGTGTAGCCTGCTTCAGAGTGTCCCCCCTTAGCTGCTGCTTCAACTGAAGCTGATGACTCTTGTAAAAAGTTTTATAGGTCGCTGTGATACTGTTCTTTTGCTTTCCACACAAGCAACACATGGCCATGTCAGGTTTTAAATTTAGATAGTATGGCTCTCGTGCGAGAGATGTGAGTCGAAATCCTCATAAATGTAGTGATTTTTCTGTCAAACTCCTACCCTGCGCGGTGTAGTGGTAACCGCACAAGTCTTGCAAACTTAAATTCTCATGCTCAAGCACCCCCCCCACCGCTACATGAATCTATCGATATCCTCTTTATATCGCTGTTGACATATATGGCATTCACAAGTGATCTCCATTGCTGCCAGTCTGCTGCTTTTCTGCCCATGGTATCCCGTGTCGTTTAATTTCTTCATTTCCCGTTGTGCTTCTCCAGGTTTCCTTATGTCGTCCACGTCTCCTTTTCCCACCTGCTGTCCACCGGAGAGCTGTTTTTGCCAGAGTGTCACAAGGCATTCTGCAAACATGTCCAAGCCATCTCCGTCTTACTTTGATAACATTTGCCAGTGATGCACATTCTGTTTTCCTCCTCAGTTCTTCATTTGTGATCTTGTTAGGCGAAAATATTTGTAGAATTCTTGAACATTTATTTTGAAAAGTCTCAAATTTATGTGTAATTTCTGCTGACATTTTCCAACTGTTGTATATTAGTATTCCTTGAATCTTGCTCTTGTATATTCTGAGTTTTGTCTTCAGACTAAATCACTTTGACTTCCATATATTGTTAAGCGTGACAAATGCTTAATTTGCTTTGTTTATTCTACTATATGAATAGTGAAGGTAATGTGTTGTTTTGTGGAATTATAGTCTCCAAGTCAAACTCAGTTCCACCGTTTCTTCTTCTGTCTACTTCCCCCCACACAGTTGCTGGACAGTTTGACATCATGGCATGGAAGATCGTCTGTTTTTGAGTGAATTAAAACTACACACGGCAGAAGGTTGTCGATAAACACTAGGGCTGTACTGAATATTCGCTTCGGGGCCGAATAGTGGACATATTGACTATTCGGTATTCGGCCGAATAGTTGCGGTTGGGCAACATGGAAGGATGGTTTTGTTGAAAGCTAATGCAGCTTTCATGCATTAACTAAGCTAAGTCTAGTTACTTGTTATAATACTTAGTATTCTTTAATTTCTAGTTATTAATTACCACATACTGACTGAAGGATGCAAAACATAAAATGTTTTTAAATGTTTACTATTCTGTACGAATACTAACAAGACACGGAAAGAATATAAACTCCAGCCACATCCAAGTTGATAACATGAAAATCAAACGAACAGAAATATATAAGTACTTGGGTGCAAACTTCAACTGCTCTAACATGCTAAGAGAAGAAATACAATCTAGAAATAAAGTATACTATGCCTTTCAACATCTGCTAAAGTCAAAGTGTCTGTCTCCCAACACCAAGATCAAAATATATAAAATGTTGATAAGACCAGTCGTTTTATATTTCTCTTAAACTTGAAGCAGAAATAAAAGAGATGAGGCCTTATCACAGGTTTTCGAAAACAGTCTTACGACAAATCTTTGGACACATGAAAGATGCTAACAGCGGAGAATGGAGAGTGAGAAGCAACAACGTAACACATAAATTGTTTATATCACCATTGATCACTGGCATCATGAGAGCTAACAGACTAAAATGGTTGGGGCATACTGAAAGAATGTCAGATACAGAAAAGTAAAAACTGTATACACAAGGGAGATGAATGGTCGTAGACCACGAGGCAGACAAAAAATAAGTTCGAGAGATAATGTGCAGTCAGACCTGCAAACAACTGGTGTCACAAATTGTGAAGAGAAGGCCAGCCAGAGAGATGAATGGAGACGAGTGATATCTGCAGCAGTAAACCTCAAGGGCTCAGAATGCTAAAGAAGAAGATGACTATTCTGTGTTACTTTATGTGAAGTCAAGGTTCAGCGTACATTTGACATTAAAAATGTGTGTTGTTGTCTTTTTTAGATATATTTTATACACTATTCGTATTCGACCGAATAGTTGGTCCTGTTATTTGTATTCGGCTGAATAGCGAAAATCACTATTCGGTACAGCCCTAATAAACGCCAATGCCACTAGGCATGTAAGGTTTTGCATCTGTTTAAGAAAACCAGATAACTAGAATATTCTTGCACCGGAACACTTGGGGCTAAAGGAAATTAAAATAATATCACTAGTGTTGTTTTTTGGAATGATAGGTATCCAAACAATTATCTGTCCACAGCTGGTTAGGATTGCCAAAGTGTTGGGTACAGACGATCTATACGCCTACATTGAGAAATACCAGATTGATCTGGATCCAAGGTTTAATGACATCTTAGGGAGGTCGGTTTCTGCCTTTGTCCAAGTCACCTGTTTTGTTGTTTCTGTTGTAGCAGGTTCTCTCTCTCTCTCTCTCTCTCTCTCTCTCTCTCTCTCTCTCTCTCTCTCTCTCTCTCTCTCTCTCTCTCTCTCTCTCTCTCTCTCTCTCTCTCTCTCTCTCTCTCTCTCTCTCTCTCTCTCTCTCTCTCTTTTGCTCTCTCTCTTTTGCTCTCTCCCTCCCTCCCTCCGCTCTCTCTCTCATGTATGTTTATGCATCAGTGTAGGTGCATGTATGTTTCTGTGTATACATTATATGTGTGTAGAGTGTAGATATGTATTTAAATGTAGTTAAGTAAACATCAATGCTTTTTTTTAAAACTTAATATTCATATTATGTGTAATGTCATAGGAACATAACATGCTTTAATGTTGAAAATACAACTGCAATCTGAAAGGTGGTTGTTTGGAAGGGCTGAATGCAGGAGAGAATTTAAATAGGTAATTTGTGACTCTTTAAAATAAAATTTGTTTGTTCTTCCTTTTTAATTGACGTAGGCTTTCTAGTCGCAGTTTTCATACTATGAGTCATTACTGTTCCTTGTATATCCATTTTAAAAAATTCATTTACAAATTATATTTGTAATCAGGAAACTGCAGTTCACTCTTTGTTCCCCTCATAATGAAGCGACTCAGTCTACGAAGGTTCAAGAGATTGGGTCACACCTGGAGGAGGACAGAGTCCCTAAGGACTTCCTCTATGGTGAATTAAAGACAGGTAGAAGACGCCGACCTCTACTCTACTACGGTATAAAAATGTGTGCGTGCAAGAGGGAATGAATGATACTGGTATTGAGGTGGACTGGTGGAAACAAAAATGTCATGGACCGTGTTGTGTGGAGGGGTCACATCAGGGAGAGAAGGAATGGAGGAGGAAATGATTGCAGAAAGGATAAGAGCTGAGCATCTGAGAAGAAACAGACTAAACACAAATGTTGACAATGACGGTCCTGAAAATCCATGCAATAATTGTGGAAGACTTTTCTTGACGTGAGCAGGTAGGTCTTGCTAATCACGCTCGCCAGCGCCATGGGCTGTAAGTACCCAGCCTCTTTGCACAGTATAGCACTGTCGTCTAGAAAACTGCTGAGGTGCCAGTTCAGTTATGCTGAAAAAGTTTTCATCAGTTTATTCAGTTGTTTGATTTTTCCCATGTCAAGGCATTCAAGGAAACGCTGGGAGAGATTTGTTCACAGTGAGAACCAACACCTGGTCAGTCCAGAGGCACTGGATTTCCTGGACAAACTTCTCAGATATGACCATAATGACCGCCTCACAGCAAGAGATGCCATGGACCATCCTTATTTCTGTAAGTGCGGATGTGTGGGATGGTTGTTAATTGTAGTGTGGGGATGGACATGGGGGTTGAGTGTTGTGCGGGGTAGACATGGGGGATGGTTGTTGAGTGAAATGTGGGGACAGACATGGGTGTTGTGTGGGGTGGACATGGGTGATGGTTGTTGAGTGAAGTGTGGGGACGGAGATTAGATTGAGGTTGAGTGTTATGTTGTCAACATGGGAGGTTGAGTGTTGTGTGGGGTGGACATGGGTAATGGTTGTTGAGTGAAGTGCGGGGACGGATGTGGGGGTTGAGTGCTATGTAGGGTGGACATGGATGTTGTGTGGGGACGGACATGTGGGTTGAGTGTTGTGTGGGGTAGACATGGGGGATGGTTGTTGAGTGTAGTGTGGGGACGGACATGGGGGTTGAGTGTTGTATGGGGAATGGATGTTGAGTGTAGTGTGGACGGACATTGGGGTAGAGTGTTGTGTGGGGTAGACATAAGGGATGGTTGTTGAGTGTAGTGTGGGGACGGACGTGGGGTTTGAGTGTTATGTGTGATGGATGTTGAGTGTAGTGTGGGGAAGGACATTGATTCTTCCCTTCAATGGTATTTCATGCCCTCCATTCGTTATATTTGATTCATTCTATTTTTAATATTTAACTGACACTGTCTTTGATGTTTAGTCATTTATGGTTGATTTAACCCATCTCTGATATTTTGTTGACACCACCCTTTTTGATATTTTGTCACCTGTATTATTTATAGTTGATTACTCCATCTTTGATAGTTTATTGACCCCAGTTTGATACTTTTAACTTCTTCGTGTTCAGTGTCTGTAAACTCTGGTGGAAAGTATGAGTTGCTCATCCACCTCTGGACTCAAGTCCTATTCCAAAACTTGAGTGTTGCATGCACTTTTTTTTTTCAACTCCATCGTTTATAGTTGATTTACTCCAAGTTTGGTAATTTATTGACTTTATTTTCTATATTTGATCAACTCCACCTTTGATGCACGATTAACACCATCTCTGATTTTGGTTAACTCCATCATTTATATTTGACTCAATTTTTTTATGTCTACTTAACTTCTGTCTTTGCAATTCAGTTTTGATATTCAATCGACTCTTGTCTTTTTTTTTTTTGATTGACAAATTTAAAAAATGTTTGCAGACCCCATAGTGAAAGAGCAAGGGCGAATGTCCAACATTGCCGGACACACCTCACCCACTTCAGCCAGCCCAGCTGCAGGACAGATAGGAGGTAAAATTAAACAGTGACCGATATTCCCCACCCTCCATTGCTCACAGTTCTCACAGATTTGATGTTTCATTTGTTGTGTGCTTTTGCTGTGTGTATGCACTTTCATTTTACTTTTTGTAACCTGGTATACCACGGGTGTATGTGTGCATGTGGGTGTGTGTGTGTGTCTGCCACTCATTAGAGTGTTAGCCGTTTATTGTTATGTTTAGTAGCTGCATTGATAGTGTTTGTTAAATTTGTAAATTAGTTGTCTTTGAAATCAGTAATTTACAATTGGCTGAAAAGCTGTCACTGCCCAGTAGTAATTGGGATCTCTATGATAAAGCAGAGAAGTTTAAAAGAAGAAAAACTATTATAGATAGCTTTACAAAAATACAGTCCATGGGTCCAGAATGATAGCTACTGTCAAAAAAAAAACCTTCATCAAGGAGGGAAAATAAAAATAGCGCTAAAATAACAATTAAAAACAATAGTATAAATGAATGAATGTAGTAGAGTTGAAAGAATTTAGCTTATGTTTTATGCTAATTGTAGGCTGTCGTATTTATACAATTGATACACTTAGTATTATTATATAGCTGTAACTACATGTAGTATATGCAAGTGGGACATTGGCTGTACTGCTTGCTTACTATCCAAGTGGATGTGTGTTTAAACCCTGTTAGGGGGGTGCTAATAAACAATTACTTGGGAAATCACAGTGAGAAAGGTAGCAGTGTCAAAGGTGCTGCATATACTGTGCTGCATTTAAAATATTTGGCCACATTTCTGTTGCATACCCAGACCAAATGTGAAATAGATAATCACACACCATGTCTTGTGTGTTGCTACACGTAAGCGGAGCGCACATGGTGTCTTGGATGGGACAGCAAGAGTTAGGGACTAATCAGCACTCGTTGGCTGAGATGGGCCAGCATTATGCCTGCAGCCTTAACTGCCAAGGACTTTACCTACCGTAGGCTGGGCCAACATAGGAGCCAAGTTTATTTTTGTGTTTGTTTAATATTTGCTATTATTTGTTCAGAAAGACTGTTTAGTTGTAATGTCAATTCTGTACTTTATGGCTGTATTCCTGTAAGACTGACTGCGTTACTTTTAGCTGTTGTAGTTCAGCATTGTGTTTCTTGTAGGATGGTGTTTAGCTGTCTATGATTTTTTTTGTAAAAAAAAAATTAAAAATTGTAGTGTGGTAGTTTTGAGTTTCTCTCTGGTTTAGAGGTTGATGGATTGGTTTTACAATGCAGCTCATCGTTAAGCAGGGTTCGATTCCCAGGGTGGCTGGTTTAGAAGGTATGATCTCATGACTTTCAGGCAGTGATGCGGGAGTGGAAGAGATGGGACATCACCACCATCTGATATCCCTGTAGTTAGCTTTGGGCACATTGCAGCTAACCTCCATAGTGGAATTTGCACACAGTTTTAAAAAAAAAATTGATGTCAATAGTAAAACTGTAATTCTTGTAGTATGAAAAATTCAAATTAAGCAAGTAGTAGTTTTTCTGTTTTTGTAAGCTTTTATTAAGTTCACTGTTGTTTGTTTAGAGATTGCACTCACACACACACACACAATCTTCATGTCAGTAGTGAACTATTTGTTATAGCATGAAAGAATCAAAACCCAACTAAAAATACAGAAGAATTATTGTTTTTATAAGCTTTTATTGTCTTAAATTGTTTGGGAGTTCTGAGGTTCTGAAGATCTGAAGAAATATAGCTCATAAACACCACAAAATATTGAGAGCAAAAAATAATAACTGAAATTAATTTCGTTATAATTTGTTTCTTGCGTACACATGTTCTTTCTTAAATCTGAGTGGCATTAGACACGCAAGATTAGCAAAGAGTTAAAATTAAATTAATGGTAATTTGTTTGATTACACATATTTTCTAGAACATTTATATGTAAAATTGGAGAGCAGGAAAAAGACAACTATAATTTTTTTAATTTTACATAATGTCTACTTTAAAAGTTTCATAAAATTGGGCAGCAAATACAATTAATGGTAATTTTTTCTAATTATAGATATTTTCTACATTAAATCTAAAATTTACACAAGATCAAATTCATGTTTATTAGCTTGTCTGCACCAACCTGTGAAATGTGGAGAGCAGAAACGAGCAGACAAATGAAACTAGATATTTATATTTCTTAATTCATTCAGTGCCAAAGAGCACATGATGCGTTGCTATTCTCCCACTTTTCTCAAACACTACATCAAGTGTTTTCTCATATTTAAATTTTGGTCAGTGTATGCTTAAAAAATCTGGCAGCTATAGAAGTATCTCATTCATTTTTCATTCCTGCAAGCTTTCGTGGCTGTTGTAATGGAAAAAAAAAGATTTCTTGTACAGAACCTAATGAGATCAAAAGAGTTAAAAATGTATGCTGCATTCATTAGTTCTTTATTCAGTTGGAGAGGAAAAAGGGGTAAAAGATAAGCTGAAGAAGTAGAGTTTCTTGTAAACATGTTTTATGTTGAATTGAGTTAATAGAATAGCTGTTAGCTATGTTGTTGTGTGCATCTCATATGAATATACTGTGTGTGTTTAAAGAAAAGAAAACTCATGTTTTACGTTAAATTGAGTTAATAGAATAGCTGTTAGCTATGTTGTTGTGTGCATCTCATATGAACATACTGTGTGTGCTTAAAGAAAATAAAAATTAGCCACTCTAACATACTGTGTGACAACGTTGGTAAAATTTAAATATAAATGTTAATATCCTTTATGTACAGTTGAGGTAATTGACAATCTCTACAGGAACATAGTTTTGTAAATCTCATGTAAAACAAGATAAAACATTAGCCCCACTAGAATACTGTGAAAATGTGTGTAAGATTGAGATAAAAAATTGTTTTACCTTTAATTATGTGAAATTGAGGTTACAAACTATAATGGATATAGATTATCTCATGTAAACATTGTGTAAAACCAGAGAAAAGTTGGCTACACTAGAATAATGTGTGGATTGTGTGAGAGGGGATTAAATGTAAGTGTTTTCTTAGATCGTATGAATTGTATGTTAATTCCTTGTTAACCTGGAAATTAAAGATTAACTGCCAAATTAAAATAGAGCTGTGTGTATGTGTTTTTTTGGGGGGTTTCAATAGGGTGGAGTTTTGCTTCTTTTTGTTTTCCCTTCTCCCGCTAATTCCTTGCATGAATAAGGAAAAATAAATCCGCTTTCGGGCACAAAAATAGATTAGTCACCACCATGTTGATATAATCAGATTTTTGACTATGTGTATGTTTGTTTCCTTTTCATATTTTTTTTAATCTGCTTTAAATGTTGGTGAAATTAGACATAAGATGGTGGCTGTTTGGTAATTGTAGTGGACCTGTACAGTCTAGTTTGCTTGAATGTTTGATCTTTGTTGTGTATGAGATCACAGATTTAGTCTTGGTACTGCACAGGGTAACAAGCATCTGGCTGAGTGATTATAATGGTAGGTTCTCATTTGAGAGGTCCTGGTTTTATCCCAGCCCCTTTCCCCCCTACTCTTCTTTTCTCATCTCGGATTGGGACCAGCAGTGGCAAAGATAGAAGAAGAGAATCATTAAAATGATGTTTGTCGTCATCGTCGTCATCATTCTTGTGCTGTGCCGGTAAGCATAGGCTTTTGTGTTTTGCCATCTCACTCATTCGGCAAAGTCACGGATGTTACAGAATTACTGGTGTAGAGCTTAGAGATATTTAAAAAATAAAACTACAAATTACTGCTTTATATACCACTTCTGCAGAGTAGGCCGGGAGATCTTTTTAGCCTGAGGATTTTAGGGCGCAGGGCCAGTGCAGGGGGGAATTTTATTTTGATTCCAGCTTCACCAAGGATCTGAACCGGGGTCCTTGCATGGGAGCCCAGTGTTCCAACCGTTCGGCCAGCCGCTCCTCGCTCAGGGATCCATCTAAATAAATTCTAACGAATCAAGAGCTGAGAAGATTATGCTGGATAAGGGGCACTGAGAAAAACCTGTTAATTAATTAGAAAGTCCTTTCTGTAGAATCCACAGGGCAGAAGGAATTGGAGAGATAAAAACACATTTAAAAACAGATTTAGAATCAGATGAATATGAACTGGTCATGGATATAGCTAAGGGAGGACATGTTTTATTTAGTTACGGGCCTTTACTCCTAAAATACAATCTGTTTTGAGATGTATGATCTCATACACCATTTAACACAGCACTTTAAGAAAGAAAAAAAGAATATAGCTTTTACAAGTAAATTATTCACCATATGGATATTAGAATATAAACAAGACTGTTCGGTGTAATGACCAGTATGAAAAGTACATAGAGGGAGGGACAAGATGGGGATGGCCTCGCAGGAGATGGTTGGTAGTCTATGCTCCACTGGGGGATAGAGGGCAGAAGAAACTCATGTCCTCTTTTTCTTGAGCATTCTGAACCCTTGAGGTACATTACTTAAGATATCACCCACCTCCATTCGCCTTGAAAATATAGTTAGTTCATTCAGTGATTAGCACTTGATTTCCAGCATGTGGTTTAAGAAGACAAACCTAAATACTGTCCCGATTCGCGACGAAGTCTACCGGCGAGCCAATTAGCGATCCAGTCACTAGTGAAAAGTGCTTATCACCCTTACAAATTCCTTTATCAATACATGTATTAGGTTTCTGTTTAAGCGATGGAAGAACACCATGGGACAAGGGTAGTAGCCCATGAGTGCTCCGTTCTACTTCTGACTCCCCTCCAAGGCTGAATAATCTCAGCCTAGTTCACGAACTCCGTAGCAACAGTGAGGATCCTGAAATACTTTAGGTAGATTTTTTTAACTCAAAATTTTGCCCAGGCAGCAGCATTAGGCTACTCTTTTCAACTTCCAACTGCCAATGGATTTTTTACATGCTAAACAATATACATGGGCGTCTGTATCTTACCCAGAGACCAGGAGAATTACTAGAAGTCTACTTGAAAATATTCCAGTCTTTACTGGGGCTTGAACCCAGGACCTCCAGCACTTGAGGTGGACGCCATGC